ATCTTTTGATCTGACTACCTGCCTTTGTTGCAAAATTCCTATATGTCCTAGCTACCGGCTCCTCCCCTCCGCAACTCCTCAGAGCAGTTTTCTCAGTTACTTGAGATGCTGCCTCGTGGGTTTGAAGTCCTCAGTATGTCTGCTGAAAAGAAACCCACAACTCTCAAACTTTTAGATTGTTATTATTGTTTTAGTTGACACTCTGAACTCTAGATGCCAGAGAAGCCTATGACTGTTAGGTGCTACTTGAATTAGAATACAGAGCGGCTGCCTAAGGCTCAGTCTGAGGTAGTTCCAGGAGGCCTTTCTGGGAGGAGGTTTCCGTGGCCAGGTTGTTAGACAGCCACATAGCCAAGGCTAATCAGAAGACGTAGGGAAGCTGTTTCAGCTGGGATGCTGGTCCATTCTGGCCGAGCCCCTGGTTATACGCCTGCTGTCCCATTGGAGAGCTGGAGAACAAGCTCAGGGTGTAAATGCTGGAGGAAGCTATGCACTGCTGGAACTGAGCACTGAAGAAGCCTCACGGTGCCCAGCAATGGGGAATTAACATGTTCTGTGAGTCTGGCCTGCAAGCAACTCAGAAAACAGGAAGAGAAAACCCCTCTTGCTCTGGTGTTCCCATTCCACCCTCTAGTGACAAGTCTTAACATTGTGCCAACTGACAGAAGAGAAATAGTCACAGAATCCAACACCATCATCATGGAGCAGGCGAAAAGAAATCTGGAGCTGAGAGATGACGAATCAGTAAGCCAGATACCATATGGGTGACTATTGCAAATCCTGCAGATCCATCCCTGAAGCCTTATCAAATATGCTTCTTGATACTCTGTCCAGGAAAATAAAGTGGGGGACATTTCTCGATTGGATCCTATTTGGTCAAAACTGACCCTATTTATTGTTGATTGTCCCATACTTCTGGGTTGCAGATTCATGAACACTTAGTTATTGTTGTTGTTTAGTCACTAAGTTGTGTCAAACTCTTTTGTGACCCCATGGGCTGTAGCCTGCCGGGCTCCTCTGTCCATGGGATTTCCCAGGCAAGAATACTGGAGTGGGTTGCCATTTCCTTCTCCAGGGATCTTCTGGACCCAGAGATCAAACCTGCATCTCCTGCATTAGCAGGCAGAGTCTTTACTGTTGAGCCACCAGGAAAGCCCTCATGAACACCTAGTTCAGTTCAGTTCAGTTCAGTCACTCAGTCATGTATGACTCTTTGTGACCTAATGGACAGCAGCATGAACACCTAATACTACTTATGAAAAGCTCACTGCTCAGGGTCAGTCCTGTGGCAAGAAGCAAGAGGTACATGGTGCAGGCCTAAAGCAGTCTAATATCTTGTTTCCTCTGTGTGAAATAAATGAATGATGGGGCTGCTTACTGCACCAGTGACTATACAAAGAGGCTGAACGATTTGAACTGTACACTGTAAAAAACTGACTTTCAAGGCAAACTCAGACCGTGATATTCTAGCCTGGAGAGTTTGTAGGTTGAAAGATTTGGTTGTTTCAGAGTGAGGTTTGGGCCATCCTGCCTGTGTATTGTAACATTAATCATTTTTTGGTTTTTGTGCAAGTTGTATTGCACCTTTAAATCCCCATAAGTCAACTGTTGTTGTTTAGTTGCTCAGTCATGTCTGAGCCCGCCAGGCTCCTCTTTGCACAGGATTTTCCAGGCAAGAATACTGCAGTGGGTTGCCATTTCCTCCTCAGGGCATCTTCTTGACCCAGGGATCAAACCCTTGTCTCCTGTATTGGCAGGAAGATTCTTTACCACTAAGTCACCAGGGAAGCCCTATAAAGTCAGTTAGAGTCATATAGTTATAAACTTCTGTTCCTTTGTATTTTAAACCCCAGAGAAGAAAAATGATCCAGAAAAAGATTTTCATAGGCAACCTGCTTTAAAAAGAATGAAGGTAGCTCCAGAGCAATGGGGAAAGTGCTATGAGTACATGATGTATACAGAAGTGGTCTCAGAAAGATCACTCAGAGCAGTCCCTTTTATCAGAAATATTTACTGTTAATTTCATGAACTTTTCCATTAAAATAATAATATTAACAATAAGAATAAAAGGAAAAAGGGGAAAAAATAAATGAAAGTGTCAGGGATTGCACAGCAATTTGGATTGGAAGAAGAAAATAGGAAGAAAATAATATATTTTATTTCATATTTTACCTGACTTTACCTAAATTTACTTAGATAAATGCACCTTTTACTTAAATATAGACCCCATAGGTCCAGAGTTCTCCTGCCTTCCTCCTTGAAAAAACAAACAAATAAACAAAACACACTTTTTTTTTTTTGGTTCCAGCTGCTTTTCCTCCTGGTCCCAATTTGTTACCTGGAGACCAACGGATTTTCAGCTCAAAACGATTCAGATACCTGTCAAAAAGTGATGGGAAGAACTAACATAGTTGAACTTGAGCCATATAATTGCATTATGATCCTAGAGTGATATGTATATCAAGGCTAGACATTTATATTACTTTATATAGTGCTTCAACTGGAATGAACATTTTTGGAGGGGAGTGGAAAACCAAAATTAATAGTTTATAGGAATCTTTTGTTCAATTTCGTTCCTGACCCAATTTGATGATTGTAGCCCCATCCCCAGCACATCCCTTCTTCTATTAACCTGGAGACAGAGTCATCATTGTTGGCTCATCAAAACTGATTCATTTATCTCTTCTTACTTTTTCAAGAGTAATATGTTTTACTAGATCTTATTTTCTATTTTCTGCCTGAAAAATCATGTCATCCCATAAAATATTATCAAAATTACACCTTTTATTTACTTTCAATCTTCAAAGTTGAGGGCTAGATAAAAATTGATTTTCTCTTCTAAAGTTGAGGGTCCAAGATACGAGGACTACTTGTGACCCTTGGCTTTTTGCTCGTGAGATCAAATGCCTTTGGTTGCCAGTAACTGTGAAGATGATGAAAAAAGGAGGAATCTTTGATAAATTTGAGAGTTCATAAACTACTTAAATGCATTCACATTAAAGCTAAAATTAAACATTGTGATGACCAAATAAAGTTTTGTGGACAGAACTCTACATAAGGTCTATGATAGTCTCACATTGAGTCTGCTAAATATACACTTTTATCTTGGAGCTACAGCTGGATACGGGCTGCCTTACCAACATCTGAGACTGGCATTCCCAAAGCCTGTAACTGATGTGGGAACAGGCTCACAGGAGTTAAATCTGACTGTGAGACAGAAACTTGCTCTCTGCATTTTCTTAGGAGAGATTATTATTGACAGACAGTGATCAAGCGAGCGGAGTCAGTATTCCCAGGGGTACAGTATCTGTTCATTCCCATGAGGATGTGCCTGTGCTTCCTAGAGAAGTGTATAAGAGCATTAATAAGGATGCGGATTCCCAGCAGGTCGCTGGAGCAAAGAAGCTGCCGAACCTGAATAATCTGAAACCTTGCCACCATTGTTCTGGGATAAGGTAATGAGGAGCCTGGCACGTGTCCTGAAGATTCAAACTAAACTTCCTTAAGATGCTTTTATGTTTTCCAAGGAAAACTCTGCAATTTATAGGCATCAACCCAATGCCTTCCAGGGGGCTAGAGATAAAAATGTCTCATAGGTTCTCCAGCCAAGGGATCAAATTATGTTTGGGACAGTGTTGATAGCTGAAAAGATTAGGGTCTGTAAGTGGGATGGGGTACATCTTTCTATTTGCATAATGAACAGTTGAAAAAATGATATTATCAACAGTAGCTCATTTATTTAGTTACCTGAATTAGGTTGGAAGCCTGTCAATAAAAACCTCAGACATGGAACTTTGGAAATTGCCCATTTTGAAGGGATTCATTGAGTAAGAATGGACAAGGGGCTATCCCTTTTCTCTCTGCCTCTGAATTCCATTCCCCCACAAAGGCAGACTGTCAGCTGTACCACTGGGGCTTCTCTGGTATAGAGTTGTTAAAAGGAGGGTCACCCAAGGTGTCAGTGATGATGATGCCAGCGGTGTGAGCAGGGCCAAGTCTAAACAGCAGAGATAAGAACCTGAGGTCAAGTCACCACTTTAAGGGCATTCACAGAGAAGCCAAGAACAATGGGAAAAGAACTTGGAAGAGGGAAAAAAGAGCAAAATCTGTGGCTATTCTGAGCAGGACCAGTAGCAATTGCATGAAAGGATGTGAGTCTTTAGGCAGCAACAAATAACTACTGTGGTATGTACCTCATGCCAAGGGAATATTAACCACATCTGAAAGGCTGAGACACAATGCACCCTCAGGATTATGGTAGATTGATTTTATATTTTCATAAACATGTGCCATGAACAATAATATAAGACTTAGTCCTCCTTTAACTCCTGTTACTATAGCATCTGTGGTTTGTTTGAGTAAATGACCATTGACCACATCCATGATGTTATAGCTTTTCCAGATTGCAATATATTCCAATTTAGTTTACTTGATGCATAAACCTCCAAATGCAATGGCTTTAAAAAATAAAAAAGTTATTAAAGCACTCTACTACTTCTATAGACAGGCTTCCCAGGTGGTGCTAGTAGTAAAGAACCTACCTGCCAATGAAGAAGACAGAAGACACTTGGGTTCAATCTTTGGGTTGGGAAGATCCTCTGGAGGAGGGCATGGCAACCCACTCCAGTATTCTTGCCTGGATAATTCCATGAACAGAGGAGCCTGGCGTGCTACAGTCCATAGGGTTGCCAATAGTTGGATAAAACTGAAGAGACTTAGCACGCACACACACACTTCTAGGGTTGTTTAGAAGTATATAAGGGAATAAAGATAGACTCGAAGAGTATAAAGGTCTTAGATAAAAATGAAGAACCTTTTAAAATTTACTCATTTTTCTTTATATAGAAAAAGTTATATAACATTATTCCTTGACAGCTAAATGTGAACTGTGTTTAATTTAACTGACAACTAAAGTGAGTTGTGTTCAGTAAATATAACTAAGAGAATAATAATATGATTATTTATCTACCAGGAGCAGATATGTAAGAGACCTATTTATGATGCTTCCTCTCAATGCCTCAGAAGCTGCAGTCTCCACATTCCTGTTGGTTGGGATCCCAGGGCTTGAGGGTGTGCACATTTGGATCTCCATCCCTATCTGCCTCATGTACCTCATGGGTATCCTGGGCAACTGCACCATTCTATTTGTCATCAGGACAGAGCCTTCTCTGCATGAACCCATGTACCATTTCCTCCCTATGCTGGCATTATCGGACCTGGGCCTGTCTTTCTCTTCTCTTCCCACCATGCTGAGGATCTTTTTGTTCAACACCATGGAGATTTCTGCTGATGCCTGCATTGCTCAGGAATTTTTCATCCATGGATTCACAGAAATGGAGTCCTCTGTACTCCTGATCATGTCCTTTGATCGCTTTGTAGCCATTCGCAACCCCCTGAGATACAGCTCCATCCTTACTAGCTCCAGAGTTTTGCACATTGGACTAGCATTTGCTTTTAAAAGCATTCCCCTAGTTCTTCCCCTTCCTTTCACTTCAAAGAGACTCAAATACTGTAATAAACGCCTGTTATCCCACTCCTTCTGCCTCCACCAGGACGTCATGAAGCTGGCGTGCTCTGACAATAGAGTTAACTTCTACTATGGTCTGTTCGTTGCACTCTGTATGATGTCAGACAGTATGTTAATTTCTGTCTTCTATGTGTTTATTCTGAAGACTGTATTGGGTATTGCATCTCATGGGGAATGGCTTAAAGCTCTTAACACCTGTGTGTCCCACAGCTGTGCTGTGCTCATCTTCTATGTGCCCAACATCACCTTGGCTATTATGCATCGCCTTCCGAAGCATATGTCCCCTTTGGCTATGATTCTGATAGCTGATGCATTCTTGCTTGTACCACCCTTGATGAATCCCATCTTGTACTGTGTAAAAACTCAGCAGATTAGAGTGAAGGTTCTGGAAAAATTGGAAAACCTGGGTCTGAAGTCTAAATGATGAGGCAAAGGTGGAAGTTCCATTTTCTCTACATCAAATTGTCTTAGGAGTAGGACAACATTTCTTCCAAATAGGAGATGCTTCCATTTACTTTAGAGTTCTTAATTATATTAGATAATTAACTAAGTAATCAATTAATATCTATTAGCGATGTCATCCACCACAGTTTTTTGATATTAAGGAAGAAGACATTTACAATTTATAAAGTAGGTAGTGATCCTGTTGTTGTTGGGGGAGACTGAGGACATCTATCCTCAGGTAAAAGAGTAAAGAGGATGTCTAACATCAGAGAAGCTTCTGAGTAGGAGTTGAACTGTAACTGGAAGAATTCTGCAAGGTTCTGGACCATTTGGCATCTTTATATTTGCCTCTCAGCATTTGATTCCTCCGTGTGATTTACATTAAATCCTTTCCAATGTGACTAGGTTTGTCTAAGTAAGTTTTCTTCCTTGCTAACCAAAGGGTGGTGCACTGATGTGCCTCAGCAGCATCTGGGAAATAAGAAGAATCATAGGATCTCATCCTTCTTCAAGCCTATTAAGTCAGAATCTTTTAACAAGATCCTAGGTGATTGGTGTGTGCATTAATGGTTGAAAAATACAAAATATTTTCCTGGGGTAACGTGAAAGGGAAACCTAGAGAGTGTGTCTTTTGCTAAACCAATTTGGGGGGAAATTGTAGGAGGAAATCCTTGGGGCACAAAGGATGGAGACCTATATGCATCATCAACATTCATACATCTCTCTTATAGACACACTGTGAATTTACATAAGGAAAGAGTTATGAATGATTCAAATTTAAAAGTCTCTTCAAGATGAAATACTTCATCCACTGTATATGTTTGGCAGGTATATCTCAATTTGAACTAAAAAAATAGGCTAAATGAAAGGGTGTGGGTAAAATGGCTAGCATAAAGAAGTGTAATAAACATTAGAGGGCAAATTATGGTTCTAGAAGTTCTTATCAATATCTCTATCCCCGTATGTGCTTTTGAGAGGAGAAAGGACATTTGAGTTCTTCCTGAAACTTATCATTCAAGTTGGTGTGGAATGATTTTCAGAGAGAGAACAGTGCTACGAATGGTAATAGTGAGCACTGAAAACCAAAGATGCTACAGGATTGATGTGGGTGTGGCCAGTGGTCAGGAGAGAGTGAGAGGCAGGCGAGAGCAGTTGAGGCCCTGCTGTAAATGAAGAGCTGTTTGCTCCCATCTCTTAGTAAAGTAATAAACACATGGAGGCAGTCTGAGTCTGCATTTAGCTCATCTACCACCAAGTTACAAAGGGCCATTCAAATGCTTTCAGCCGTTTCATGCATACAATGAGGTGGTAGGAACTTAAAGAAACTTCCAAATGTAAAGTTCTTTATTCAGATTGAATATGCATACAAAGTTTAAATATAGTTATTTTAATTTCCATGATTAACTCCAAAAAACTATCATTTATTAAATATTTTATATGTTCAGACATTATGATACAGAGACTTGATTGCATGAAATCCTTATTACACCTATGTTACAAACATGGAACAGCTAGTGCCAAATCACTCAGGGATAATGGACTGAGGATTCTAAGCCAGGCCTATGTGACTCCACATTCTTTCTATCCAACATTCTACTCTTGGTAAATAAATTGGAAAATGGAGGTAGGTGTTCCAGCGAGGAGGAAAGAGTGGGCTTTGGGGGAAAAAAAAAAAAAAGTTTCTCAGAGACCTCATCACTGTTCTTCAAGACCAAGCTGTTTCTCCATTTAATAATTTTAAAAGAGTGTTTTGTAGCAGGGGTTTTAAATTAAGACAAACCTGAAAATAAATTCTGCTTAGTAACTAATTTTATAGACTTGGGGCATTCTTAAAATCTCACCCTCAGTATTCTCATTTTTGAAATTGAAAGATTGACATCTAATTAGTTAATCAAGAGAATATATATCTTAAAGAATAGCTTGTTAAAATATGAGGCTATAACTGCTTCTGTATTCCTAGAATATATTCTAATGTATCACTGTGTGTTCTTATCTTGTCACTAAATGGATTTGATCTGAAAATTTGATTTTTTCACTTTTCATTTAAAATGTGTTCTTCTATAATCACAAGTAACAAGGATGTTTCAACTGTTCAACATATTAAAGTAGAAAATTACTGTGTTAGTGAATGTTGAAAAAACATTTAATAGGATTCATTAAGTAAGCTTATTAATTTTTTTAAATGCAACATAAATGAACTATTTAAGCATTATAAAGTTCATTCAAAGATCTAGCAGTCAACCATTGTGCCAGTAAGTGAAACACTAATGTCATTTAAATAAAATGGAAACAGCATTTTATGTTCACTCTTAAACCTTCATAATGGGTTGGAGATTCTAATGAATTTAATAAAATAAGAAAATGAAATAATTTATATGACTATTAGGGGAACATTACCTGTTATCTATTTTTACTTATGAATGCTATTAATAAATACAAATAAAATACAAAAGTTAAAAAAATGTTTCTAAAAGTTTATGATAATTTGGTAAAGTACATAGTAATGCAAGATAAAACTGTTTTTCTCAATCTAGTAATATATATGTGGAGATAGAAATGTCTGGTTATCTCAGTTGATTAGAGCGTGGTGCTAATAACACCAAGGTCATGGATTTGATCCCCGTACAGGCCACAGAAAATTTTCCTCCTTACCACCCAAGGTGGTTACACGTTAAGGGTTTCCCAGGTGGTGCTAGTGGTAAAGAACCTGCCTGCCAATGCAAGAGACTCGAGAGACATGGGTTTGATTCCTGGGTTGGGAAGATCCCCTGGAGAAGGAAATGGCAACCCACTCCAGTATTCTTGCCTGGGGAAACACATGGAGAGAGGAGCCTGGCAGGCTATAGTCCTTGGCATTTCTAAGAGTCAGACATAGCTGTGTTGTAGCCACATGTTCTGGGAAACTCACTCACTCAGAAGGACAATGCAGACAGTGGAGTGCAGTTTATTACACTAGCGGGCCCAAGGCAGAGTCTCCTCTTAGCCAAGGACCCTGACCAGTTTTTGTGAAAACCTTATATACCCTAAGTGTATGTGCTCAAATCCACCTCCCCAAATTCCCTGAAACTAGTCTAAACAAAGGAAAAGAAAGATACAATCAAAGTTAAGCCATGATTCGTATGCCTTAAACCCGTGATTCGTATGCCTTAAGCCTAGGTAGTTAACAGTGGACAACTATCAATAGGCCTGTGGTCATACCCCAAAAAGCATAATAGAATTTATGATTCTATTTGGTTACACAGATAATTAGGGTATTCTTTTAGGCAACGGAGAGTCTAGGTATGGGCCCTAGGGCTCTTCCATCTGGCGGGGTCTGGTTTTCCAGTTGGTATGTTGTTTCCACAGATACTGGGCATATAGCTCAAAGTCCACAGTCCAGCCCAAAATGGAGTTCTGCTTTCAAGATGGAGCCTGTTCTGTCTGTTTCCTTCTTCAGCTAAGCACACACACACACAGAAATGGGGTAATGTTTTATTTGTAATAGCAACACAATCATACATTTTAAAAACTACATAGAAATAGATTTAAATAAACTGAATAATTTTATTGAAAAGTGTAAAAAAGGTATTAATAAATGGAATACATAAATTCCTGTATGTGGAAACTTATGAATGCTGATTTGGTTATATTTAATCTATTAAAATGTAATTCTTATTAGAACTTCAAAGTTTTTCATTGTTTTTGAGAGAGGATCACTCTATACTGCATATTAACCAAATCACACTATGAGGCTAGTCTAATAGATCAGTGATATGTATATGACACATACATTGTTATTGTTCAGTTACTCATTTGTGTCCGACTCTGCAACCCCATGGACTGCAGCATACCAGGCCTCCCTGTCCATCACCAACTCCCAGATTTTGCTTAAACTCATGTCCATTGAGTCAATGATATCATTCAACCATCTTATCCTCTGTCATCCCCTTCTCCTCTTTCCCTTTCCAAGCATCAGAGTCTTGTTCAAAGAGTCAGCTCTTCATATCAGGGGGCCAAAGTATTGGAGCTTCAGCATCAATCCTTCCAATGAATATTCAGGGTTGATTTCCTTTAGGATTGACTGGTTTGACCACCTTTGCTGCCCAAGGGACTCTCAAGAGTCTTCTCTAGCATCCAATTCTTCAGTGCTCAGCCTTCTTTACGGTCCAGCTCTCACATCTGTATAAGACTACTGGAAAAACTATAGCTTTGACTTTGCCTTGTTGGCAAAATGATGTCTCTGCTTTTTAATATGCTGTCTAGGTTTGTCATAGCTTTTCTTCCAAGGAGCAAGCATCTTTTAATTTCATGGCTGCAGTCACCATCTGCAGTGATTTTGGAGCCCAAGGAAAGAAAGTCTCTCCCTGTTTCCATTGTTTCCCCATCTATTTGCCATGAAGTGACAGGACCAGATGCCAAGATCTTCATTTTTTGAATGTTGAGTTTTAAGTCAGCTTTTTCACATATATATCATACTTCATAAAAAGATTTCTAAAGCAAAGTCCATATCCATGCACACACCTAAAATATGACATATATGCTGCTTAGTCAGTCATGTCTGAGTCTTTGTGATCCCATGGACTGTGGTCTGCTAAGTTCCTCTATTCATGGGATTCTCCAGGCAAGAGTACTGGAGTGGGTTGCCATTCCCTTCACCAGGGAATATTCCCAATCCAGGGACTGAACCAGGTCTCCTGCATTACACGTAGATTCTTTACCATCTGAGTCACCAGGGAAGCCAAAAAGATGACATACGTAGTTTTTTATTTCAGTGAGAAAAAGAGAATGTATTTAATAGTTGATGCTACCACAAGTACATAATTACCTTGTTAACATAACATTGAACTTAGAAAGAAAAGTCATTATAATAGTTCTTTTAAAAAAGGCTTAAGAGAATATGTGCAGAACAGGTTAAAGACACTTGTTTTAAAAGCAACACATGAAACACAAAAATTATAAAGATATATAAAATGGATTTTATTGTGTAAAACTGTATTTACTCAAGATTTGGATGCTTAAATAATGAAAATAGGCAAATACTATATTGGCAAAGGTATAAAAAAGGATTTTACATAAAGGATTTCTTGCACATTTGTTTTTAAAACCATAAACAATCCAGTAGAAAAATGGATGAAAGCTTTTTGAAGAGACTTCATAGAGGAGGAAACCAAATAGCCAACAGATATGTGAAAGACACTGTTTCTATTAGGAAAATCTGATGTAAAGTAAAATGATATTATTCTCACTAATAAATTTGATGGAAATCACTAATAAAATTGATGGAAATTTAAGAATAATGGTAAGGGGAATTCTGATGGACATGCAATCCTACATACCCAAACGATTGTGACAAGACTTAGATTCTGACCCTTTCTGTGCCACGGACGTGATATTAATAGGGGGTTACAATAGACCACTCCCCTTCTCTAGGGCTCATAAACTTTCATCAGTATGCACACTCACACTTCAAGGGGCAGGAATACTTATCTGTGTACACGCACTTTTGTGTACCTGAATGACATTTTATGCATGATGAACTGAGTTCTCAGTCATGGAAACCTTTGTGTCAGGTAACCACCAAACATGAAGGGAACATCCTTCTCACTGAGCACAACCCACCTTCCTGGGCTGCAACCTCTTGTGGATTCTCTCTCTAATCTCCTTCATCTTGACACTATAGAGAATGGGGTTTACCAATGGGGGAAGCAGGAAGTGGACATAGGAGAGAAGAGTATGGGCAGGCTGAGGGATTGGCATCCTGAGACGATCAATGAGAGCCAGCAGGACCATGGGCACATAGAAGAGAAGCACATCAGAGAGGTGGGCAGCGCAGGTTTGGCCAGCCTTCCAGCGATCCTCCCTGGATCCCAAACCTTGCAACACCCTGCCAATTAGGCCATAGGAGAAGAAAATAAGCAGAGGATCCAAGCCCATGGCTGACAGGACCACAAATAGGCTGTAGACCGCTCCCCCACCTCCGGGGCAGGCCAAACGGGCCATATCCGGGTGCAAGCAGTAAGAATGGGTCAGGACCTGTGGACGGCAGTAAGGCATGTGGGCCAGGAGGAATGGCAGGGGCAGGTGGAGACCCAGGCATCGGAAAGCAATGGCCACACAGATCTTGCTGATGACACCATTGGTGAGGAGTGTTGGGTAGTGGAGAGGGCGGCAAATGGCCAGTGCCCGATCCAAGGCCATAGCGAGTAAGACAGAGGACTCCATGACGGAAAAGACATGGACAAAGAACATCTGGAGGAGGCAGGCTGAGGCAGAGACAGCATGAGTATTCGCAAAGGCAAGACCCAGCAGGGTGGGCATCAGGGCTGTGGCCAAGCCAACATCAGACATGCTGAGCAGGAAGAGGAAGAAGTACATTGGGCGGTGCAGTGTGGGCTCCAGGGCAATGATCCAGAGGATAGCACCATTGCCCAGGGCAGAAAGAAGGTAGATAGTGATGAGGGGTATCGCCCACCAGGAGGGTACAGCAGACAGGCCTGGTAGGCCCACCAACAGGAAGGTGGGGGCCATCGAAGTGCTGATATTGGGAGCTGAGTGGGTGAGAAATGCTGACATACTTCAGGATCCCACTTTGAACTCTGGAAACTGAAAACTGATTAGAAAGATTTATTTAACCTTATGACACATTTGCATAAGTCTTTCTAAAACTGCCTGCCCCCTCTCCTGCTCCAGGCACACATACACATACTCATTCTAGTATCTATGCCATAGTCATTCCTTGCCTTGGAGCATTTTCTATAGCTGATCACAAAGCTCTGATTCTCTCTTAAATTATTTTCCCATTTTCCTCAACCCTGTTTTTCACTGTAGATTTCTTCCTAATTTGGTCCCTCCTTTAATGGAAAACACCCAGAAGGGGGTCTATACTCCTATGATCACGTTTTCTTTTTTTCTTTTTTAAATGAATTTGGCTATGCAGGATCTTAGTTGCAACATGCAAATTAAATTGCAGCATGAGGGATCTAGTTCCCTGACCAGGGATTGAACCCTAGGCTTCCTGCATTGTGAGTATGGAGTGTTAGCCACTGGACCACCGGGGAAGTCCCTAAACATGTTTTCTGCTCCTCCCAGTCCCAGGCAATCTGACTTATGTGCTTCCTTAGCACACATTTCAGTTCACTTTAACCGCTCTCATTAGTCATCCATGACTTCTCTGGTGGCTCAGATGGTAAAGCATCTGCCTGCAATGCGGGAGACCTGGGTTTGATCCCTGGGTCGGGAAGATCCCCTGGGGAAGGAAATGGCAACCCACTCCAGTACTCTTGCCTGGAAAATCCCATGGATGGAGGAGCCTGCTGGGCTACAGTCCATGGGACCGCAAAGAGTTGGACACGACTCAGCTATGTCACTTTCTTTCACTTTCACTCCGTTATTACTAAATCTAGGGGCACTTACATATCCTAAGCTGATGTATTTCTCAATGAGCTTTGGCTCTTATGAGACATTTTCTCCTTTTCTTTTTAGTTCTACCTCTCAGAATATATATTCTTAGCTCTCCATGCCCTGTCCCATCCAATTTATACACTGGTATTTTTGAGAATCTTTATTTGGTTATTTCCTTTTTCCTCAGTGGCATTCCTCCTGACTTCAACTACACTTTATAAATTGATGAATCATAAATATATCCCCAGATCATTCTATATTTAGCTCACAAATCTCTACTTAGATGTTGTAAGCATTTTAATTTCAAATAATCCAAATCAGATCTTAACAAATGTATTCACATACAAAATATTAAATTGTACTTGATTCTTATACCGCAAACAAAATCAACTCAAAAAGGTTTAAAGATTTAAACATAAGACCTGGAATTGCTAGATGAAAATATAAGGAAAAAGCTTCATAACATAGAAATTGGTGATAATTTCTTGAGTATGACACTAAAAGCACATGTGATAAAAGCAAAATTAGAAAAGTGGTGCCGTATCAACAGAAAACCTTCCGTATAGCAAAGGAAGCAATAAATGGAATAGAAAGGTAACCTACATATATCTGATATATCTGATATCTAAAGTGCATGAAGGGTTTCTATAGCTTGATAGCAAAAAAGGAATAACTCCATTTTAAAAACAGAAAAGGAATTGAGAAGGCATTTCTCCCAAGATTACGTACAAATGACCAACAGGTACATGAAAAGATATTCAACATCAGCAAATAAAATCTTAATTATATAATAACCTCACACTTCTTAAGATGACTATAACTTTTTTTAAAAAAGATAGGAGTAGGCAAGGATATGAAGAAATTGGAACCCTTGTACACTGTTACTGGGAATGTGAAATGGTGCAGTCACCAAGGAAAATGGTACAGTGTTCCTCAAAAAATTAAAAATGGAATTGCTAAATGATCCATAAATCTGTTTTGGGGTATACATTCAAAAAAATTGAGATCAGAATCTCAAAGGATATCTGCACCCCCGTGTTCCTCGGAGCACTATTCACAATAGTCAATATATGGAAACAACCTAAATGTCAATCAGTGGATAAATGAATAAAGAAAATATGGTATACACACAGGAAGGCTGTTTCCATTGTTAACTTAGTCACTAAGTCTTGTCGGACTTTTTGCGACCTCGTGGCCTGTAGCCTGCCAGGTTCCTCTGTCCATGGGATTTCCCAGGCTAGAATACTGGAACAGGTAACCATTTCCTTCTCCTGGGGATCCTCTTGATGCAGGGATGGAACCTGTGTCTCCTGCATTAGCAGGCAGATTTTTTATTTTTAACCACTGAGTCAATAGGGAAGCCTAGAAAGAAGGTTATTCAGCCTTAAGAATGAAGGATAACTTGAAATATACAACATGGATGGACCTGACAGTATGCTAAGTGAAATAAGCCTGTCACAGAAGGACAAATATTGCATGATTCCACTTATATGAAGTATATAAATAGTCAAACTCATAGAAACAAAGAGAGGAACCGTGGTTGCCGGGAGAGGGTGAAAATTATGTTTAATGAATAAAGAGTTTCAGTTATGCCAAGATGAAAAAGTTCTAGAAATCTTCTGTACCTAGAGTTACCAACTTAAAAATTTAAGAGGTTAGATCTCATGATTCATTCTTAAAATAAAAAGTTTCACAGCAACAATCTAATATAACCATGGTACTTTATATGAGGTTAAAAAATTAGGGAAACAATGGAACACAGTGTCCCTAAATGGAACAATATTTGCAGTTCACATTACTGAATGAAATTTAGAATTTGAAATACATTTAAAAACTACAAATAAATAAGAAAGATGAGTAATCTAATATCAAATTTGGCAAAATATGAATTCTTTTTCTTATAAGGATAAATACAAATACTCAACAAATGTACAATAAAATCAGTCCCAATGGTCACAAAAAGAATACACATTTTCAAAATAATAAGTTTTCCTACCCATCACATGGAATAAATCATAAAATCTGATAAAATTATATTCCGGAAAAGATTAAGGGCCTGCTCTTAATCAAGGCTGCAAGATTATAAAACTGTGTAGCTCTTTTGGGAGCATTTGACAGAACTCATTAAAATAAGAACCTTATTTGGCAGTTCTAGTTCTTGATATATCAATCAGACAGAACAATTCTCATACGCATAAAGAGGCATAAAAAAGATTTTTGTTTGCAAAAGGAAAAAAGAAGTAGAGTTCTTTATAATTCTTCAATTAATTAGTTCAGATAACTAATTAATCAGGGAGATGGTCATGATAAGTAAAAATCTTAATAGTTAAGAATGAAAATATATTGTTGAGTTAAAAAATGTATAGTGATTTCTATACAATGGCATCAGTTTAAAACCCTCTTAAAGTACTCTGTCTCCCTGATAGCTACATTTGTACTTAAATGCCTAGAAGCCCTGGACGGATTTGCATTCAATCCATTTGATTACAGTAGTAATGGCTGTGGAAAAGGGACTAATACTGGACTGAGGATAGGAATTCAAAGATGACTTTGGCCTTAAGCCTAATACTTTATTTTTTCAACAAGATAGCTTCTTGTATCAAATGAGTAACTGTCAATTACTTGGTAAGCCATTGTTTCTTATCAAATACTTCTCCCTAATCCAATTCTTTCACTCATCAACAATGCTGTGGTCTTTGCTGAAGCTTATATTTGCATTATCTCGATTGGTTTCCCTGCTATCAATTCTTCTGCTTTTTAATCCTTCCACCATACGGATCCCACAGTGTTATTTCCAGTTTGCTGTCTGATAATGTGGCCATGATGTCTTTCTTCAAATCTGTGTGGTTTTCTACTGCTTTAAAACAGAGTCCAAAACCCCTTTACCATCTGGCCCCAAACAACGTTTACTGTTTAATCCAATTCTGTTCTATTTTTACTCATCCATTTTAGCCTTCCAGCCCTACTGTGACTCCTCAGGTATGTCACTGACTTTCACATCTTCAAAAATACAATACATAAGTGCAGTTTTCTTCTCTCTCTCTGTATCATCATGCCTCATATATATCATGGAGTTCCAGCAAAGATACTGTTTCTCCCCTGAATCCCTGCAGACCACCTTTTCTCCTAGGGCTGGGGATAGATTACTCACCCTCTCCTGTCACACTCTGGCATATTCCCTAATACAGTCTCTAACATTCTGAGTTATTAATATTTCTTTCTATGCCTTCCTCTTCAATGTACTGTTACTTCCTCAAGCTATGGTTCTTTATTTTATTCATTATAGGGATTCCAGTTTCTAGTTTATGTGTGGGTGTTCAGTGTACTCACTTATGTCCAACTCTGCAACCCCATGGACTGTAGCCTGCCAGGCTCCTCTGTCGATGAATTTTACAGGCAAGAATTCTGGAATAGGCTTCTGTCATTTTCTCCTCCAGGGAATCTTCACAACTAAGGGATCAAATCCACCTCTCTCGTGTCTCCTGCATTGGCAGGTGAATTCTTTACCACTGTGCCACCTACAGAGCCCTTCTATTAATAGTTTATATTAAGCTGCAAATAAATTTGATTCATAAGTCTTTTGTACTACTATTTTGCACTTCTGCTATTCTATTTCTCTAAATTTTCTTCTTGATTTGATCACACTTTCTGAAATGCCCACTTGGTTTTATTATTCCATAACTATCACCTTTCTCAAAATCTTCCCATCCACCCCTAATGCAGATCTCATATAAGTTTCTTCAAAATGTTATTCTTTCCTTCAGTGGAGTGCTTTCTTCCCAACCTATTTCTAGTTCACACCTTCCCCTCCTGTTTCTTGGGTTCTCTGCCTCTCTAACCACTAGATGGAGCTTCTGAGTGTTGGAGCTTGCAATCAGGAGAAGGAAGGTTCCTGCTATATACCATACATTTCACAGAACATCCCTGTTCATTAAAACAGGTCAGGTAGTGGGTTATGCTTGATGGATGTAAGGTAGAAATATGCTTGGGACAGGTTTCTGTTGTGGGGATATTTAAGCCACCGTATTTGGCGAATCCACTAAGGAATGAAAGTGAAAGTGAAAGTCGCTCAGTCGTGTCCAACTCTTTGCCACTTCATGGACTTTATATACAGTCCATGGAAGTCTCCAGACCAGAATACTGAAATGGAAAGCCGTTCCCTTCTCCAGGGG